ATATATATATATATATATATATATATATATATATATAAGCTATACATTATACCATACGTAAATTTTAAAAAACTGTTTACAAAAAAAGGTTAAAATATTTCCGTATTGTAATTTACGGGCTTACAAATAAAGGAATTTACTACTCTAGTTGGTGTAGGTTGTCTCATTGTTTACGGTCTTTGAATTCATTTAAATGTCTTCGACAATTGATCCAATAATTAAACAATAATTTATTAATTAAACAATAAATTATCCAAAATAGTATAAAGTATAAAAATAGGTGAGAAATGCCAGCGTTCAGCACCTCTCGCTATTATTGTTCAGCTTCCTCCCTTGTTCACCTGTTTATTCAAACTACGAAGATTTCCTCCTCCACGGGGTAGCGTGGAGTACCACTGCAATCACGCACAAGACTCCGTACAAAATGAACATTATTTGAAAACTGCTGAACGAGATCCCATTGTTCTCCGGCCACAGCTTCGACATGACGTCACGACCCGACGTGTACCGGCAGAGGTCGCCGCGGTAGTCCTCGTTGTCGCACGTGTCGTTGCCCATGTCCGTGAACTCATTGTCGGCAACGACGTAGCCGGCATAGCGATGAATCGTAGCGAACGTCGGAACGTAGACGTAATCTGGTAACGAGTTGATGGGCCTGAAACACATCGGGGAATTATTCCGCTGATAAACAACACACACAATACATACAACACCATGCAACACATACAACGCATACAACACAAACAACACAAACAACAACATACAACACAAACAACATATACAACACAAACAACACATACAACAACATACAACACAAACAACATATACAACACATATAACACATACAACAACATACAACACAAACAACAACATACAACAACATACAACACAAACAACACATACAACAGACGTTCCCCTCCGTGCACGCAACTGTATTAATTCCACGCGTTACTCCCAGTTTCATTCGTTTATCGAACTGATCGCTGAGCGCGTATTAGGCGAGAAAGAGACGGAAAATAATTACACAATTTCGTGGCAAAACATAAAAAACCGCGCTGGGGAAAAACGACGACAAATAGATTCTCGCGGCTATGTGTTAGTTTAGTTAGTTAGTTAGTTAGTTAGTTAGTTAGTTAATTAGTTAGTTAGTTAGTTAGTTAGTTAGTTAGTTAGTTAGTTAATTAGTTAGTTAGTTAGTTAGTTAGTTAGTTAGTTAGTTAATTAGTTAGTTAGTTAGTTAGTTAGTTAGTTAGTTAGTTAGTTAGTTAACTAGTTATTTAGTTAATTACCTGAGGAATCCGGAGCCGGCGACGAGGCTGACGATGCTCATGAAGCTGCTGATCTCCATGGCAACGAACGGGTCGCCCACGAACCACATGACGGCAATCGTCTGCACCTCGGCGTAACTATAGACGCACCATATCGTCAGCGCGAACATGAAGTATTTCGCGACGTCCGTCGCCATCAACGATGCCCTGTTGTCGTGACAACAAAGCGATATCATGTATGTACAAATATAATAAATAAATAAATAAATAAATAAATAAATAAATAAATATATGTATGTATATATATATAATATATATATATATATATATATATATATATGTATATATATAGTGGTAGTATTGTAAGATATCTTTGCATACAAGTATCACAGATGCGTATAAAAGATCGATGGCATATAAATTATTGTCCTATCACAGCAATGATAAGGGATGGGGTTACCTGGCCGACATATGGATTGTTACGTATAGATATCAATGATGCCTATACACACATAATTCACACATTCAGGCAGTAATTGTAAACATCATCAGCAGTTTCAATGCCGCTGAAATAGCTTGTTACATATATAATTATTGACGATAAATTTAATTGACGTGATGTAAACTTGCCAATATATTATAGCAGCGCCACCGCAGACGCCAGCAAAGTTGGGGAGAACTGTGTACAGCATCTGAGACAAGACGAACGAGTGTCCGCCATAGATGCCCTCGCGCGCCTCCTGGTGGTAGATGTTGCGATGAAAGGCGACTGAAAGTAAAGTGTGCAAAACCATTAAAACCATTGTGGGGGGGGGGGCTTCAATATTGTTTTAGTGTAGGTAGATTAGGAGCCTTCTACTTACTTCATCCTCACAATATGTTAATAATGCGCTTTCAGTAAAAACCTCATCGAAGTAAATAACCCTGTATAGCAATATCTAAAAGGGTGTTAGAAGTATATTAAAAACAAAGCACAGAGTACTTTCCTATTGCATTGCTGTTTACAACACAAGCAACATAGTTACAATACACAAGCACAAGTTACAAAGCACAAGTTACAAAGCACAAGTTACAAACACATCGGTGCAAAAGCTCTTAGCTTATGTTAATAATGTTCATTATATACCGATGAAAATACATTTTACTTGAACTTGAACTTGAACTTGAAGTTACAAAGCACAAGTTACAGTCCATTCGGTGTTGACTACTCACAATGAAACGGCGTTGTCAGGCATGACAGAAACGACGTCCCCGCAAACGAGTAAAACAAGACGCCAAGTCGCGTCTGGATGCCGGCTTGGTTCTCCTGCAACCTCCACACGAACAGAAAGAGAAGAATAGCAAACAGAGGTAGCTGGAGCAGTCTCACCGATAGATGGCGCCAGTCGCGACAAAGATGCCATGTTGCTCGCCTTAAATTACAACAAAATACAACAAACATCAGCAGGTGAATAATACCACGGATCGGGTAGCATCAGCACGCAACACATCACAACACAATAGGCAACCTTTAGCGTTTAATAAATAAAATAATGAAAAAACTCAATGTTGTAGATAAATATCTTTAGGAGCGCTCTGAAGTGTAAATTAATGCCCTTATGTATCAGTTGAAGTTGAAAAAAAATGCGGATACCTTGTCAATGTGAAGATCTTTGACACGAATCCTGGTTGTCCCCACGAAGACATTGGTCGCCGCGATTGATAAACGTCAATCCTATTAAACTCTATACAAAACGCAGCCCACGTATTACTGCACAAGTTTTACTCGGCTCATATTATAGATCGTGATATAGACAGGTATATGCGCATTGTGTAGATCATGCGTAGGTTATATATTGCTCAAATGTCAATCCTATTAAGCTGTATGCAAAAGCCAGCACAGGTATTACTACACAAGTTTTACTCAGCTCATATAACTATTTTTACTTTATTATAGATGGTAATATTGTCGGGCATGCGCATGGGTCGATAACATGTAGGTCATATATTGCTTAGATGCCAATCTTATTAGGTTCTGTCCTTATGTAAAATTCCTAGCATACCATCTCGTCTATCTCCGTAGTATGGCTGGTGTAGGGTCTCGTATTGCTCAAACTTTACTTTTAGTTTGTCCACGTTAGTTGTTGTCTCTAGAAGTCTTGCGGGAGTTCTCCTGTCTAGGCTGGCCATCGTAACTATTATTAAAAAATAGACGCACAATAGGCATACAAATTAAATTACTTGACACCTGCAAGCTAAATAAAAATCTATACATCTAAACATTAATCACGATGCCTCATCAATATCTCTCAGCAACAATCGATCATAACCTTCACATCTAAACGTATCACCACATTACAAACCGTATCATTCAAATACACTACAGAGGTTACACTATTCACTGTCAATATACACTACATGTTTGTAATAATTACCCTAATGATGATAATAATATATTAGCTATGAATATCAAACTAACTGTAGTATATCTACTGTTTTTAGAAGTCCAACTACACGAATGATACATACGAAAGAAGTCGAGCGGGTTCTCAAACTCAGGACACGGGCAACCAATTTTGTGATAATATTCCAACATGCTCTTGGTGTACCCTGCAACATTTGTTTGCAACATTTATTTTTCGCTTGCAGAGTTCCGGTAAGAAATCTTATCAGTAATTCCATTTTTCACAAATATACAATCACAACTGGTGCTGAAGATATGCGGGAAGTCTTTCTTCTCTCGCAGTCTACCACAATCCGACTGTCAAAAACGACTGTAATATATTAATCTCTTCGTGATTAATAATTACGTATTGACTAATTGTCCGATGCTATTACTAATACTACTGTTATAAACGCGCCGATAAAGTGACATGTTAACAAGGTCACATACGCTTTAAACAAAGCAAGTCGTTAATTATTATTATTATTAATATTATTATTTATTAAAATTATTATTATTATTATTATTATTATGTTATCTTATTAATATTGTTGTTGTTATTGTTGTTGTTCTCTTTATTGTTTTTATTATTAATAATAATTGTTATTGTTATTACTATCCGCCAAAAAACACGTTGTAGTTGTAACAGTAAGCGTGAGCGTGAACTGCCGCGTCTGTTCTCACCTGTGTACACCACCTCGCCGCTACACAGGTACGCAACCTTGTCCACCATCGGATAGATGTCCGACTGCGGCCGGTGTGCGGTGAAGAGCACGATACGCGAATACTTCTTCGCAAAACGCGACAGCAGCGCCACTATGGCGTTGGCGCCGAAACTGTCCATGCCCGTCATTGGCTCCTCGACCAGCACGACGACTGCAAGACATATCGATTAAGGCACGAAGGTGATTGATTGACCAAGCTATAGCTCATAGTCTCTTAGTGAAATCTACACCGTCGCTCAAAACTCGGTATGAACGTGATTAACCAAGCTATAGCTAATGGTCTCTTATAGCCATGGATCCCGTCGCTCAAAACTTATATAGTTAAATATGGTAATAGTAATCGGCTGTAAATGTCTATATGACTGTATATGACCAAGGCATGGACCTGATTAACGGAGCTATAACCCATCGTTTCCTCAAGTCATGGACCCCGTCCCTTAAAACTCATAGTCTAGTATGATCATATCAGAAGTAGATAATAGGGAATTCCCTATGATCTACTTCCGATAATATGTTAATCGGCTGTATATAACTATCCGATTAAGGATTAAGCGATTAGTGCTGAGGTTACACGGCGGGTGAGCACGATATATATCCGTCGTGTAAAACTTCGATCCGACTTTGAAAGCAGGTGGGTCATGAACAATGCCGTTGAAATTCGCGAACTGCCCATTTCAATACGTAAAGCTGATCACGGCGAGCATTTTCAACAACTAGAGCAAGGAGGTCAACCTCTGGTTCATGGACCCCTTTGGGGTCCGTGGATGGGCTTCAGGGGGTACGTGAACCAGGAGCATAATCATTATTGTGTTTATGTGCTTATGTGCATTTTGCTTGGAAGGGGTCCGTATAGCTTTCACCAGATTCTCAAGGTAGTGGGGCAGATAACATGAAAACATTAGCAGAATCGTTCAAATTGTCATACAAGCACCAAAATTATATGACAATCTGAATGATTTTTTACCTAATCTGCCCTACAAAGAGGGTCCATGACTCAATACAGGTTAACAACCACTGGACTAGATACAACCGTACATGCGCTACTGCGATATACGGACCATCGCCATAGTATTGCGATACATGGCAACACGCGCACTCACTGCCACAATTAACAGATGGCATCCTGGGGGCCGTTGTCAGAAACATCGTAAAGTTAATGCTAATGTTACGAGAGGGTCTGGGCTCTCGTAATGTTACGAGGATATTTTTAGTGATTTTTCATTCTCGTAACTTTGTGATGTTTCTGTCAACGGTTTACGAGTGGGAGATGTTAAAACTAATGTTAAGGCTAACTTTTTTTCTGACAACGGGCCCCTCACTACTGAGGTGACAACGATCAGCTGTTTTACTTACGAGGGTCTCTTAGTAACTGAAGACCGATGACGACCTTCCGCCTCTCGCTCTCCGTCACGTTCCTTATAAGGTCATCTTCTATCAGCACGAGATCCAGCTCTGTCACAGCACAGCGGACCTATGGTGGGAATTAGATATAGTAGTAAGTATAGTTAAGTATAGATGTCAGAGAGATTATAGATCAAGGGCGAGTGATGGGTTCATTTGTGGGGTGATCTATTTGAGTCAGACAGGTGTGTGTGTGTGTGGGGGGGGGGGGAGTTATTACACAGCGATTCATTGCTCGTGTGCAGTACGACTTCCCATCGACTTATTTGCTTTCCCTCCCGCGCGCGCTCCCTCTCTCCCGCTCTCCCTCCCCCCTCTCTCTCTGTCTCGGTTTCTCTTTTCATCACCTTTCGTCTCTCGTTTCTGAATCGTTTGTTTTGCCCATCTCTTTCTATCTTTCTCTATATATCTATACATATCGCCCAACCCCCTTTTCTCCCTCTCACCCGCGCGTTCTCTCTCTCTCTCACGCACTTTCTCTTCTCACTCACTTTTTCGTGTTTGCGTTTCCTGGGCATTCTCCGGCTGTAGTAGAGGTCGGTGGTGTAGTGCAGCGTTTCTTTAACGGTCAGCAGCGGCATCAGCTTCGTGGCATACGACACGTAGGCACCGTTGTTCCTATAACATCACGTAAACCTCGTGATTTACTGTTCACGATCAATGACATTTGTGAAGTGAATGAATAAATGAATGGGTAAATGGAAGTGCCAATATGTTACTCTCGAAGATATTTGTGTTTATTGCTGCCGAAGCGACTAAGTATAAGAGGCAAGCGCAAACAACAATTATTAAAGTGAGAGATTCAGATGACAGCGCCACCACGCTATTCTCAAAGATATTTGTGTTCATTGCGGCTCAAGCGACCAAATAGAAATGACAAGCGCAAACACGATTCGGGAGACGCAAGAGATTCGGAGGACAGCACCACAATGTTACGCTAGAATATAAGATGGCGATATATATATATATATATAACAACCATCAACACCGACACCGATACGGTGGTTGTTGTACACCAGACACAGCGTGAACACAAGTCTTCTAGCTGCTATGCTATGCAGGAATTATGCAGGAACTATCCTCAGCAAGCAGTTTGTTCAGACTTCGATCTTGCAAACGCCGTAACATATGAAAGCGTGAACGATGTTAGGCAGTAGTATAATATATATATATATATATATATATTATATATGTAATATGCGTGAGTTAAAGATTGGAGGGCGAAAAGTGCAACAGAAAACTCTGACCAAGAGAGAAAAGGGGTGAGGAAAGAACAATGAGTGAGCAAAAAGTTTTTTTACATTCTTCGAGTAAGTTCACGCGCCGCAAAGCGAATTAAATCAAGAGGCAGCCGATTTATAGTATGACGCCACCTTGATTTACAGGCCGCTTCAGCAGCGTAGAATGTTATAACAATAACTGCACTGTAAAGTCACCGCGAAACACATTGAAAACAAGAGGGCCGCCGCCATTATAGTGTGACGCCACCTTGATCAAAGCCGCTTCGACGCGCAGAAGATGTTACGAACGAATAAACAGCAAAGCTTCGCTAATGTTGCAAGCGCGCCTGAGCAACAGATGGATTACTTTCACAGTTCACAAAACGACGTGCACCGGTTAATCGGTTTTGAGTCAACGCGAAAAACGCTCTTCGCAGGCAAGCCGAGTGTCGCATAAATGCCGCCAGTGTGGTGGTGCGAAAGCCCCGGATGCAGGTCCGATCAATCGCTAAATGGCTGCTTCGCGCAAAAACCGTCTGTAATCTGTGTTTGCTCGCCTCACTGGGCATCACACCGCGCATGAGTACCAGCGGTGCCTACGAACCGGCGCGTATCTCCTTAATTAATATCAACAGAGGATCGGTTTTTTGATGGACACCCTTATAGCGCGCACGCATCCGGGGGAAGGCTGTTTCAAAGCCGTATATCGGCTGATGCCAATGGTTGAACGTCCTGCTGCCAATAAACTTTGAATTGGCGATTTTATCGGCAGCGCTGTATTTATTATTTCGTTTTACGTGGCTAAAAAAGATCGAAATTTCGAATATTCGATATATTATCATATAGATATGATTCAGGTTTGTTCGACACGCCAAGATGACAGTTGGTGCAGCAGTTGAAGCTAATATTGTCACGTGATTTCTCCGTGCTGAAAAGAGTCGAAGCAGTGATATATCGTGTTGTTTAAGAGATTTAAGTCGTAGCATTCCATCCAAAACGATGGAATGATAAATTTCGTAAATAATTTGCCGTAACCACTGGTGGGGAGAACTCTCTCTCTCCACACACACACACACACGACACACACACAGCCACACACCCACACACCACACACACCACACATACACGGCGCAGGCGCGCGCACACACACACACACACCACACACACAAGCACACCACCACACAACCACACAAACAGCAAAGCACCCACACACAGCACACACGACACACACACACACACACACAGCAGCACACACACGCAACCACACACACACCACACACACCACCACACACACACACAAACAAACATGTCATTATAAGTCGGCGATTTAAGTTTATTTGACCATTAAATACAGCGAAAAAATTATGACGTGCTATGCACGAACGTATTCGAACTTCCGCAACAAAACTTTCAAAATTTCACACGATTCCCGGACTCTGCATCGCGAACGTTCAGCCTAGACGCCTTGTCAGAGAGAACAACACTACCAAACTCTCGGCAAACATTGCGCGGTGAGAGGACTATAACCTAACAGAGTTGTCGCGTTTGCAAGCTGCTAATTTTTTCGTACTGCTAAAAGCCTAAACGTGTAGAAGTATAGCGACGATTGCATTCCGTTCAAGCGCCAGAAGAGAGACAAATCCACAGGAAATACAAAAACGGTAGTTATTCCTCTTATTACAGTATATACAGTAATTTACAGTGTATAGTAGTAGCGTAAATAATCACTGCTATAGTCCGTGGCCTCACATGTCTACTTATCCCTGCTAAGAAGGCTATTAGCGCGGTGCCAGTTTTAAGGACGACCCTCAGTCAGAATAAATAGCGTGGTGTGACCACACACGTGTAAATCTCTACTGTAATCGCATTTTTTTTAACAAAGAGCGAATTATACCGTACGTCCCTCCGATTCTTTTGCGTTTTCCGCGTTCCGTCGTTTTCTATTAGAATTTTGTTTTGATTATAGATGTCAGTTTTGATCCCTTCAGAGGACATTCACGACTAGTGCTGTGATCATAGCGCGTGGGGAAAACACGACATCACAGCAAATAAAACACGCAGCGCGTACACCCGCGCCCTCCACCCACACGCAGCACATACACACAAGCACACACACACACACACCCACACCACCACCACACCACACACACAAACACACCACACACACGCACACGCACACACACACACACACACAGCACACACACACCCACACACACATACAGCACAACACACAGCACACACACACACACACACACACACCACACACACACGACATCACGATTACACGCGTGCATTTAACATTATGTACACACGGCGTACGCAGCACGCATACAAAGCGCGGCAGACCTTCCCACGATACGGCATGGTCGCGCTCCGTAAATGCCGGCTAGTAGCGGGAGGTCATTGTGAAATCTAAACATATCTAGTTGCCTTCATCACATCGCCATCTCATGGAGGGCTGTTGTACTCACTAAAGTCGTCGCATTTGAAACTAGTAACGACTGATCTCGCGAGGGTAAAGAAACTATAAGTATACAGGCTACTGTCTATAACTCTCTCTGCCTCTAATAATATATGGAAAGAATATACTTTCTATCATGACCCGTCTTATATCTCCGGCTCTCTCTCTCTCTCTCTCTGCTCTCTGCTCTTTCCTCTTCTCTCTCTACTCTCTCTCTTTCTTGCTCTCTGCTCTCTCTCTCTCTTCGTTGCTCTCTCTCTCTCTCTTTCTCTCTGTTCTGTCTTTCATCCCCCTGCCTCGCTCTTCTCTTCCCGCCTCGCTCATCTCCTGCTATCGTTATACGCATTTGTCCTTGGCTCTTCCTCGTGCTCTCTCTTCCTTCTCGTGTTTTTTTCACTATCTCTCTCTCCCTTTCCCTCCGCCATTCGCTATCTTTGCTTTCTCTTTATCTGTTATCCCTCCAACTTTCTCCTTGCTGCGCTCTCGCTTATTTTCCCTTCAGATTTTCTTCTCCTTCTCTGCTACTGTCTTGCGTGCACCGCGCGCGTGTTCGCGCGCACTGTGTTTTCTTCTGCCATATTTGTCCGCGCATTTTCTATTACACATACATACAAACGCACACCCGCACGAATTCGACAGGCTGCTCGCTCGTGCGCGTTGTGGGTTCGCTCACTCATCTCCCTCATCACTCACGTCACGTCACTCACTCACTCAGCTCACTCACTCACTCACTCACTCACTCACGTCACTCGCGACCCTCACTCACTCATCACCTCCACTCACTCACTCACTCACTCACTCACTCACTCACTCACTCACTCTACTCTTTCTTTTTCTTTTTCTCCATCTCCTCCTTTCTGCGCTTTTTTCTATCGCAACCGAACCGACAATGATTCTATTACACTCAAATCGATCCAGAACTATTGTCTTTACAGAACACTTTCCAAAAAAGAATCAATACTAGTAGTGAGGCCAAAAATACCTCGATTAGCTCACGGTGTGATTTCTTTGCGCTGCCGCTCTCGGTCTCTCTCTGCCTCGCTCCTTTTCTCTTTCTCTCCTTGCTTTTCTCTCTCTCTCTCTCTCTCTCTCTCGTCTGGCTCTCTCTCCTGTCTGCTCTCTCATCCGTCGCGGGATTTTTTCCGTGATGCAAGCCGCAAGGCGCGTGTGCGTCGGTGTCATCTGTGGCGTGGGCAGCGGCGGCGGCAGGGGGTACGCCGCTAGCGGCCATGCGCCGCGTGACCGAGCTCCATGCATCCATGCTAGCATGGCCGACGTAGCTGCAGCGGTGACGGCCGCGCCAGCGCGCGCTCATGCGGCTGAATAGACGGTGCTGCCAGCACCCGCACCTGGTGATCAATGAGCGCAACTAGGCGTGCGCGTATACTGATCTATATATAACTCTATAGTCTATACAACTACTACTGATATATATATTATCTATGTATATATATATATATATATATATACATATATATATATATACTATATATATCTATATATATAATAGTCATAGATATATATATATACTATATAATTCAATTAGCGAACCAAAAACGCGTGGTCGGCGAGAAGAAGGTCCTGTTAAAGGCGGGGTATATGGCAGGACGTTTAGCTGTCTGAAACCTGCGGCAGGCGACGGCTAACGTGGAAATCATGTACATTGTCACGCTATCTACCCGGGTGTACTGGTCCCCGTGGCGCTATTTCTAAGGATGACTCTATCATAATGGTTTCGTTAGATAATTATGTGTCTGATATTAATGTCGTTGCGATTTAAAAACGCAGTGTGATGGCGTTACCTATATATTTGATGTCTAACTACGAGTCATTCTAGCTTTTTGTCAAACAAATCAAATTTAAAATTATAATCCAATCTAAGTCAGATTATAGAGCACTGACGTCATTGACCAGCTCCCAAATAATGCACTAGCAGTCACTACACTACTACTAACTACACTACGCTGACGCTACACTAGCACTACACTACACTTACACTACAATAACACTACACTAGGCACTACAGCTACACTAGCACTACACTACACTACACTTACACTACACTACACTACACTACACTACACTAGTCACTACACTAGCACTACACTACACCATAACTACATGCTACACTACACACACTAGGAAAAAAAAAAAAAAAAAAAGAAAAAAAAAAAAAAAGAAAAAAAAAAAAAAAAAAAAAAAAAAAAAAAAAAGAAAACAAAAAAAAAAAAAAAAAAAAAAAAAAAAAAGAAAAAAAAAAAAAAAAAAAAAAAAAAAAAAAAAGAAAACACTACACTAGCACTACACTACACTACACTACACTAGCACTCCATACACTACAACTTACACTAGCACTTAGCATCTAGCACTACAGCTACACTACACGAACACTCCCCACTACTGCTACACTAACTAGCACTACACTACACTAGCACTACACTACACTACATACACTAGCACTAGCACTACACTACACTACACTACCTACACTACAGCTACACTACACTACACTACACTACACTGACAGCAACACTAACAGCTACTCTACACTCGCACTACAGCCTACAGCTACACTACACTACACTAGCACTACACTACTCTACAGCTACAACTTACACTACACTACACTCAGCTACATCTACACTACACTACACTAGCACTAGCACTGAGCACTACACTAGCACTACACCACTACACTACACTACACTACACTACACTACACTGCACTACACTACACTACATCTACACTAACACTACACTACACTACACTACACTACACTACACTAGCACAAACAGCTAGCACTACTTCTACACAACGCTCCGCTACGCCTAAGCGCTGACGCTACACTAGCACTTAAGCACTACACAACACTCTCTACACTACAGCTACATCTACAGCTACACTACACTACACTACACTACAGCTACAGCTACAGCTAGCAGTACACTACACTACACTACAGTCTACACTAGCACTACACTACACTATCACTACACTACACCTACACTCCACTACACTACACTACACTACACTACAGGCTACACTACCTAACTACACTACTCTAGCGCTACGCTACGCCCACTACGCTAGCGCTACACTAACACTACCTACACTAACACTAGCACTACACTAGGCAGCTACACTACAACTACACTACACCTACACTACACTACACTA